TCAAGCTTCTCTCTGTCGACCCCGCCAACTACCAAGATGCCCCAACAGAAGGCATCCGCCGGATTCTGGAGATGGTGACCGGTGAGACGTTACCTAGAGGACAACTGCTCGACCTCTTCCACGTCGAGTCCATTCGCATGGGCACGACAGTGGCCACAAATGCCCTTCTTGAGCGGAAAGGTGAGCGCGTGGCCCTCATCACAACAAAGGGCTTCCGCGACCTGTTGGCGATTGGAAACCAGTCACGGCCAAATATCTTCGACCTCTCAGTCGCAAGGCCGGAGGTCCTCTTTGACAAGGTTGTCGAAGTCGACGAGCGCATCACAATGGAGGACTACACCGAGGATCCCGCCTCTGTGAAGACGAGTCCGACGTCCGATGACCCTGAGCTCGTCACGGCCGTCACTGGCGAGACTGTCCGCGTCCTCAAGAGGCCGGATCTGGAAGAAATCAAGACGCAGCTCGAACAGGTCAGAGAACAGGGCTATCGGTCCATCGCCGTTGTCTTTGTCCACTCTTACGCCTACCCAGACCATGAGCTCCTGGTTGGCAGGGTCGCCTCTGAGATGGGCTTCTCCGTCACCCTGTCTTCCGAAGTTCAGCCTATGATCAACGTCGTGCCCCGTGGCATGTCTGCTGTGGCTGATGCTTACCTCACGCCCGTCATCCGGCAGTACATTGATTCTATCTCGGCTAACTTCAAGGGCGGATTTGGTGCGGCCGCGACGCGCATCGAGTTTATGCAGTCGGATGGTGGCCTTGTCGACTACCGCAAGTTCAGCGGTCTCAAGGCGATTCTTTCTGGACCCGCCGGCGGTGTTGTTGGGTACGCCCAAACTTCGTGGGACGACGAGGAGCGCCAGCCTGTTATTGGCTTCGACATGGGCGGTACCTCGACAGATGTCTCTCGCTACGCCGGCGTCTATGACCATGTTTTCGAGACTACCACTGCCGGCATCGCCATCCAGTCCCCTCAGCTCGACATTCACACCGTCGCTGCCGGAGGTGGCTCCATCCTGACCTGGAAGAATGGCCTCTTCAACGTCGGTCCTGAGTCTGCCTCCGCTCATCCCGGTCCGGCATGCTACCGCAAAGGCGGCCCGTTGACAGTGACGGACGCGAACTTGTTCCTGGGTAGGCTATTGCCGGAATACTTCCCCAAGGTCTTCGGCCCCAAGGAGAACGAGCCGTTGAACCGAGAAGTCACGGCCGCCAAGTTCTTGGAGCTGACGAGCGTGATCAACAAGGACAGAGAGGCATCTGGTCTTTCTCTGCTTTCCCCCGAGGAAGTCGCTCTCGGCTTCCTCAAGGTTGCCGACGAGGGCATGGCGAGCCCGATCCGCGCTTTGACGGAAGCTCGCGGCTACGAGGCTGGCGCACATCACTTGGCTTGCTTCGGTGGCGCTGGCGGTCAACACGCGTGCTCCGTCGCCACGGTGCTGGGAATCTCTCGCGTCATCATCCACAAGTACTCCTCCATCCTCTCAGCGTACGGCATGTCGCTTGCAGACGTTGTCCATGAGATTCAGAAGCCTTCTGCCATCACTTACTCTGACGAAACCAAGGGCAGCATCCAGGAGCAGCTCGAGGAGTTGTCTTCTCAGGCCACTCTGGAGTTGATGAAGCAGGGCTTCACCGAAGATCTCATCACTCACGACACCTACCTCAACATGAGATATGCTGGATCCAGCAGCTCGCTGATGATCCTGAAGGGCGCAGACTGGGATTTCAAGACGGAATTCGAAGATGCTCATCGCCGGGGCTTTGGGTTCCACTTCCCCGAGAAGTCCATCATGGTCGACGACATTCGTGTTCGCGCTACTGGCGCAGCTCGGTCCAAGGTTGAGAAAAGCCCGTTTGCGCAGATGAAATCTGTCGAGGGTTCCACAGTCTCGACCCCTCAACCCAGCGGTACCAACAGCGTCTACTTTGAGGGTCACGGCCACCTCGATACTACTGTCTACCAGCTCCAGACTATCCCCGTCGGCGCCCGTATTTCTGGCCCGGCCTTGATCATCGACAACACCCAGACCATCCTTGTCACGCCGTCCACCACGGCAACAGTCCTCGAGAGCTACGTCGTCATCGATCGCGCACCAGTTGAGAAGGTTGCCAAGACGAACGGCGAGCAGGAAGAGTTCAGCCCCGTCCAGCTCACCGTCTTTGGTCACCGCTTCATGTCCATTGCCGAGCAAATGGGCCGCACCCTTCAGAAGACGGCCGTCTCAACCAACATTAAGGAACGTCTTGATTTCTCCTGCGCCATCTTCAGCCCCGATGGCGGCCTCGTTGCAAACGCACCCCACGTGCCCGTCCACTTGGGATCCATGCAGTTCGCTGTCCGCTACCAGCACGAGCTATGGGCTGGCAAGCTCAAGGACGGCGACGTCCTCGTCTCTAACCACCCATCATGCGGCGGTACCCATTTGCCCGACATCACAGTCATCACTCCCGTCTTTGACGGTCCGGAACTGGCCTTCTATGTCGCTTCGCGAGGTCACCACGCTGACATTGGCGGTATTCTCCCCGGATCCATGCCGCCGACCTCCTACGCTCTGTGGCAAGAAGGTGCTGCCATCGAGTCGACCAAGCTCGTTAGCGAGGGTCGCTTCAACGAGGCTGAAGTCCGCCGTCTGCTTCTTGAGGAGCCCGCTCAGTACGACGGTTGCTCCGGCACTCGCAGACTGCAGGACAACCTCTCCGATCTCAATGCGCAAATCGCCGCCAACGCAAAGGGCATCTCACTCATCAAGGCCCTCATCACAGAAAACGGCCTCGCCACGGTTCACCGGTACATGTACGCCATCCAGCACACGGCCGAGCACGCCGTGCGCGAGCTGATGCAGTCTACTCTCGCCAAGTTCGGCTCCGAGCCCCTCGTCGCTGTTGATTACATGGACGACGGCACGCCCATTTGCCTCAAAATCACCATCTCGCCCGAGGACGGCTCCGCGACATTCGACTTCACCGGCACCGGCCCGCACGTCCTCGGCAACACCAACGCGCCCATCGCCATCACGCACTCGGCCATCATCTACTGCCTGCGCGGCCTCATCTCCTCCCAGATCCCCCTCAACCAGGGCTGTCTGGCCCCCATCGACATCGTGATCCCCAAGGACAGCATCCTCAACCCGGGTGCCGGCCTCGCCGTCGTCGGCGGCAACGTCCTCACGTCCCAACGCATCACCGACGTCGTCCTCAAGGCCTTCCGCGCCTCCGCCGCCAGCCAGGGCTGCTGCAACAACCTCACCTTTGGCACGGGCGGCAAGGACCCCGTGACGGGCGAGCACAAGGACGGCTTCGGGTACTACGAGACCATTGCCGGCGGCGCCGGCGCGGGCCCGACGTGGGTGGGCCAGAGCGGCGTGCACACGCACATGACCAACACGCGCATCACTGACCCCGAGGTCTTTGAGAAGCGGTACCCGTGCATCTTGAGACGCTTCCAGCTGCGCAGCGGGTCGGGTGGTAAGGGCAAGAACAGGGGCGGCGACGGGACGATTCGCGAGATCGAGTTCCGGGTGCCGGTGCAGTGCTCTATTCTGAGCGAGCGCCGGAGCAGGCGGCCGTATGGTATGGAGGGTGGTGGCGATGGCGAGGCGGGGTTGAATTTGGTCATTGTCAAGGATGATATGACTGGCAAGGACCGGACTGTTAACTTGGGGGCCAAGGCGACGACGAAGTTGAGGGCCGGGGAGACTGTTATCATTCAGTCGCCTGGTGGTGGGGCATGGGGAGCTGTTGAGGCTTGATCGGAGTATTAGTGATGGAGTTGATTGGGATTGCATATTTCGGAGTTTGGAGGACTTGATTTTTTTGCCGCAATGACTTTTAGACTAATTGATTCAATCTTCATCAAGTATCAATCGCAACTCGACTCGTGTGATTGACCGTGCAGTCTATTTCTGTGAAGTGACTTTTCAGTAATAACCCGTCACTTCATTTCCTCCATTGCAAGCCACATCATCAATGTCTACACTTTCAACTCACCCAACTCACCTCATTCAATGTGGAATAGACCAAGCACTCCCAATCCAGAAGAGTCCACCTTGCTGACGTACATACCTCTACAAATTTCCAGCTGTTAAATGAGAAGCTTGCCTCAAGCCATTAGCTCAAGTCTTGATCTCTCTCCCAGTCCAGTCAAAGCCGTTCGCCGATAACACTCCTTGTCAGCAGGCATCTGTCCAATCAATGCCAGCAGAAATTCATCATTCTCCTCAACCAGGTCGGTCTCACTCTATCGTCGAACTGCCACTAGTGTACTGCCCTTTTCCTGACCCGCTTCCACGATTCTTCCCCACATCTCAGCCCTCTTGCGGACCCCTACAATTCAACACGGCTCCAGCGACGCCCCGCTGCACAAGCAAGACATCGTGAGATTCCAGTCGTTGTCTGCCCTGGTGGTCTAGCGGTATGATTCTTCCTTAGGGTTACTGAGAAATCAAGACACCATATTGGAAGAGGCCCCAGGTTCGAATCCTGGCCAGGGCCCGTTACACTTTTGATGTTGGTGATCAAGTGGAGGTGATCTTTCCTTTCACGTGTCTATTTCTCCTTTTTGCTTTTCTGGCAGCGGCTGCGTGCAGAAATCCGCCACAACGGGTAACTGGCCGGTTATGTCTCGCATGCACGTCTTTGTCTGCATGAGAAAAGCTGCAAAGATTCCGTTAGCAGCAGACTGCATGTTAGTCTTGGCAAAAAGAATCAATACCCGCGACAAGCGGCGACAAGCGAGAAGATGGGGCGGGAGGACTGAGGAGCGCCCCATTAATAAGGTGAGACGGCATTTTCTGTGGAAAAGGCCATCGGGGCGTCGGCCGGAAATACCCCTGTCCATGCACGGCCGGTCTCGGCCTCGAATGCGGGGGAATCGGGTCAAGATCCGGGGAGCGGATATCCGATAGGAACCCGTAGTTATCTGCCCATTCTGGGGTCGAGGGTAACGGATACCATCCCGATAAATAGTCCTGCTAGCCTCGGTCACGATACCCGGCGCGTTTGACATTGTTGGAACATTAAAGCCTTCGATACTGCAGCTTCAAGGTGTTTTGTCTCATTCATATATCTATTCTATTCAACGCAGCTCTCATTTTCCTTCATCTTCTAGATTTCTACCATTCTACAACAACAAAAGACTAAGAGTTAAAAACAAAGACTGTCAAAATGTCTCCCAGCAAGGTTCCCCCACAAGGCATCTGGGCCCCGGCCGTGACCCTCTTCAACCCGGAGACAGACGAGCTCGACCTCGAAGCCCAAGCAAAGTACTACTCATACCTCTCCAAGACGGGCCTTGCAGGCCTCGTCATCCTCGGCACGAACGCCGAGCAGTTCCTCCTCACCCGCGAAGAGCGTAAAGCCCTCATCGCCACCGCCCGCAAGGCCACCGGCCCAGACTTCCCCATCATGGCCGGCTGCGGCATGCACTCCACAAAGCAGGTCCTCGAGCTCCTCTCCGACGCAAAAGAAGCCGGCGCCGACTCGGCCCTCGTCCTGCCCCCGGCCTACTTTGGCAAGCAAACCACCCCGCAGGTGATCGACCGCTTCTTCAACACCGTCGCCGAGAAGACCCCCTTGCCTATTGTGATTTACAACTTCCCCCTCGTCTGCAACGGCATCGACCTCGACAGCGGCACCATCGCCAAGCTCGCAAAGAAGCACGACTCCATCGTCGGCGTCAAACTCACCTGCGGCGCCGTCGCCAAGATCGTCCGCCTCGCCGCCGAGCTGCCCGCCGAAAAGTTCGCCACCTACGGAGGCCAGTCCGATTTCCTCCTCGGCGGTCTCACGTCCGGCAGCGCGGGCTGCATCGCGGCCTTCGCCAACGTCTTCCCCCGCGTCACGGTGCAGATTTACAAGCTGCACAACGAGGGCAAGATCAAGGAGGCCGTCGAGCTGCACCAGAAGGCCGCGCTTGCGGAGCAGGCGACCAAGGCGGGCATCGCGACCATCAAGTACGCTGCCTCCGTGTACACGGCGCCGCGGGCCGGGTTGAAGGGCCAGGAGAAGCTGTTTGCGCCTCGGAGCCCGTATGTCGAGGCCAGCGAGGACCAGAAGAAGACTGTGCACGCTTTGATGGATGAGCTGAACAAGCTTGAGGAGGAGCTTGCTGGTTCCAGCTGAGTGGATTAGCTCAAGTTAGACAGATGTGAGTTGTTTGGTGAAACGGTCAAAATTTGTGCGCCTTGTCTTGATGACAACGTGTGCACCGCATGCTTGGAGAGATTGCCAGTCTTTTTTGCTAGGATGAGTGTGGTCCCTGGGCGCGTCAGAGGCTGCAAGTCATTTTTAGCTTACGTTCCAGGCCCAGGGCAAAGAAGTTCGGCAATCGGATCTGGCGTGACAGGGATGGCATGGAGGGACCGTGTATTATGAGCATATGATAGAACCATAAATGAAGAAACTAAATGATAAAGAAGGCATGGGAACAGCATCCAGTGATCACCAGCTGTTTCTGATCGTCGCATTGAGTTGTGAATTGCTCGTTCAAGTCCCCTTTGGATGAATCTATGTGTTCTGTAGGTGACGATCCCGAGACAAAGGCCAGGTGAGCAGGGGATTAATTATCCCACCATCCCACCGGGATACACGGACCTGCTTCCGCGAGCTCTAGTCTACAGCATCCCTGATGGAAATATGGTGGCGTGAGAGGGATTAAGTCTAGATGACGCTCTATTGATCCGTGCTTCCCACGTTTATCGTAAACAGGTGGGAAAATTTGCATAGCATGGGGACTAGAGCAGCCAGTTTGATGCTTGGCCTCCTACGCGAGCTCACCTGCGAAACCCCTAGAGACGACGACCCAGGCACACGGGAAGAATAAGGAACAAGTATGTTGTCGATCCTACGCGCAATAGCGGGGCGCTCGGACTGCTTTCTTGAAGAACTATACGCCACATTTCTCGACGGCAGTCGAGCTCAAAGGATTTCTTGGTGTGCCTGGGTACCACGGCAAGAGAGGTAGGGGGAGAAGTGAAAGGGGGAAGAGTGGGCAAGCCACACGAGCGAGGGGGGAAGTTGTTACTGACCAAGGTGAACAATAAGGAAAACGGTTCATGGAGAAAACTTGGATGGATAAAAGAAAGTCAGCGTGAGAGAGCTCTTGCCCAGAAACGATGGGCAGTAGCGATGTTAGACAGTCAATCAGGGCGCGAAGGATGGTTTATCAGGCCATTTGCTTGCGTTCCGTCATCCAGGCCTTTCCTCATTCCAGCCACAATCGGCAAAAAGGCTTGAGGAAAAGGACCCAAGACTGACTGAAAACGGTTACGAGATCGGCGGTTCCAGCAAGAAAAAGGCTCCTCCTGTCTCTCAAAGCCCTTCCAGAATAACTCTCAACGTCTTTTTTCTGCTCAGAAAAAAGAATGAAAGAAGAAGAAACAAAAGAATTCTTGCTAACTTTTGGGCCTCGCATCCAAACCTTCGATAGGGGTTCTGTTTTGCCCAAACCAAGACATGATAGTTTCCCAATCGGGCACGATACACAACCGCGGCGTTCTTGACCTAGACTTATCCCAACGCGGCTGGGTCGGTTAATCCATGCCGCCACTCACATCCCCGCATGCGTCGAACCTCAGTCTCTTCGCCCACTGCCGCTCCAGCTACGCGCAACGGACTCAAGCCTCGCAGCAAGCCACCTTTGCAAGAGGGCAGGCAGACTGGTGGGCAGGAGGCGCTAGAGACATGAGAGGCGGACGCTAACACGAACCGGAGCTTTGGGACCATGGCGAGCACGGTGGTTTCCGCTTTTCTTTCCCGCGTGAATGCGCCCGTCAGAAGGCATTAGGGCTGTCAATCATTCGTGAGGTGGGGGGACGGAGGCGGAAAGACCAAGTTCGAGAGCGTCCTGGTTCGTTTAGGTTGAGGAACTGGAAGGAAGGCCTTCCCGGACGGGTGCCGTGCTAAAATTCATAGGAGATCATTTGCCGGCCGCGAGGTTCGACGTTGCCGTGTGACAAGCCACACGTCCCATGGGTCCAGCAAAGAGGCGGCGGCGCGCCATGTGCTTCATTTGCTCTGCTGGTTGATTGTTCTCCGAAAGCCACACCGGATGCTTCCAGTGCTTTTGTTCCCATAAGGTCTCAGCAGTGCCCCCTTTGGAGGTTGTTCCACATGGGTTTCTCTTGTTCCTGGTCGATTCTTCTTGTCTGCAAGCCCCCCCCAGTCGCCCCCACAGACTCATCCCTTCGACAGACGACGACGGCGATAACGACGACGACCTCGTGGCTATCTCGAGCCGGGGACCTCATGCACAGGTGGTTTTAGCCAATCGGTTGTTACGAACATCCCTTCATTGGGACTCGTATACCCTCCATCATGACGTCTTTTATGGAATTGGTCGGCAAGGTGAATAACCTGAACGACCCGAGACCTGCCTTGAATCAAAAGCCGGTTATGCTTGGCATCGTGATATCGTTCCTAGTAGGTTCCTCTCCTTGGCATAGGGACACGTACACCGTTCTGTCCCAGAACATCATCCTAATATGTGCTGTGCAGATTCTAGCACTGCTATGCGCTGGCATGCGATTATGGACCCGCATCTTTATTGTTCGAGCCGTAGGATGGGATGACTTCTTTCTGGTGCTCGTTATGATCTCAATCTCAGTTGGAAGTATTGGCACTTGCATTTGTATGTCACAATGTCCTGCATCTACCCCTGCCTACTTAGTCCGCAGCACGTGCTAACGAGTAAATTAAGGCATGGACTATGGGCTCGGAGATCATATATTATACATACAGTATGATAGGTTCATCAAGTTCATGAAGGCAACTAACAATCCCCCTCGTAACAAATACAATAGGCTAACCGCCTAGTACTAGATCTTCTACGTCTGCAACGGCACATTACCGATATCAACGTCTTTAATCAAGGTTGCAATCCTGCTCCAGTACCTAAGAATATTTGAGCGCGGTTCAAAATCACGACTCCTCACCTACATCATGATCTACCTCGTCGCAATGTGGGGAGCCGCCTTCATGTTTCTTGCCTGGGTACCATGCATTCCCGTCGCAGCTTACTGGGACTGGTCAATACCCACCACCAGACGCTGGGGGTTCGGAACGCAGGTTGCGGAGGAATTGATACGGACATATGAGGCACACGCCACGAGCAACATGATTCTTGACTTTATCATTTTTGCTATCCCTTTACCGCTATACTTCAATACCGAGGCCAACAAGAGGTCCCGTAAGACCGTTCTCGGTCTCTTTTTGCTGGGCAGTCTGTAAGTTCTAACCCACAATAACTTCCGGACACCATCTCTTTCCTAGTTTACTGACCAACGGCATGATAGAGTCCTGATGCTCTCTGCCTGGCGGCTTGTTTCCCTAGTCCGCTCCCGCGCCGGAACCTACCCAACCTTCGATCCAACTTGGGCCGCCCCAGGTCCCATGGCCCTGTCCATTCTCGAGATCGACATGGCCGCCATCTGCGCCTCCCTCCCCGTCTTCTGGCCCGTCCTGCAAAATAGCATGGGCATGATCTTTGTCACACACGAGGTCAAAGTCACCACGGAAACAGTCGAGACGACACGCAGCCGCGATGACGACGAGTGCCTCGAGCTATCGAACGGCGGCGCGGGAAGCAACGGTTCCTTCTCATACTCGCAGCAAAGCCCCGCGCTGGATACGGAGGGACTGATTGAGCAGTACAAGCAGCAGACGGACATTTTCGGGAGCTATCTCAAGGGAAAGACGACGACGGACGTGGAGACTGTGCCGACGCCGCTCCGTGATATGCCGCCGGCCAAGGAGCCTGAGCTCTTTGGGAGTTATTTGAAGGGCAAGACTACGACGGATGTGAATGCGGATCCGACGACGAAAATGGTGTGATGCACAAAGCCTGAGTTGCCGCTGACGGCCTGGTCGGTTTAGGTGCTTGTTTTAACGACGTGACGACGATATCCGGGAGTGTTGATGCAGGAAATGAGGGTGTTCGGGTTTCATCTTTTCTGCGTTTTTGTATTACTATAGATACCTCTACTTACATGTCCTTGCTGAGAACACCAGAAGAAGTAAATTCTAATCAATTTCTGGTGTCTTACCATCAAATCGTATCATTCATGTGAGATATCTCACAAAAGACGGCTTGGCTATCAAAAATGAACAGCCTATCATGTTCGATGTATTAGTAACTTCAATAGATTCCATCAATTCGTCTAGGAGCTGGCACGTGAAATGTTCCGAATTCGTGTTCCAGTCTAAGAGGTTAGTGAACTGGTTGCCGCCTCCATCTTACGGGGAAGCGAGTCTCTCATCGCCGGAAGCAGTAAGTCCTAACGATCTTCCCGGAACTGATCGACTCCGTGACAATGAATCTCAGGGCAGGTGAAAATACATATACCCGGGATCTGTCCAGTTTTGTTTTATTTCCGGAAAACAGACATGTAATAGGGTAAAGCCACGAACTTCGTCATTCAGGAGATACCGGCACAAAGTATCCATATCAAACAAAGGTCCTCAACGGCCCCGGCTGACTGAATGCTCAGTCCGACTTTGCCAGAGTAGAGATCTCTAATTTGGGCTTGCTTACATCGAAACATTCTCCACCGCATCCAGACCATCGAGAACTTGGGTACTCCCAAAGTCTCCATGATCCAATATGCTTAAGTCTACCTTGCAAATCTCTGGTTCGGGTAAGAAACGTGAAGATATTTTGGTTGCATGTGTGCGTTGATCTGCTCGTTCCCACATTCACACGTCGAGGTTTGGCAAAGTGGTTCGGCTCCAATAAGAATTCTTCGGTGGCCGAAGTAAGATCAACAAGATAAGCAATTACTGACATTTTTGTCACTCTGCAACCGTATTGTGATGCCGCAGCTTGACCTTCCCTACTCTCTAAAACCCTCCCTTCTCTATATTCAACTACGATGGAGGTTCATCGGAAAACAAGTGTAGTCAATTATTTCTCAGAAGAAGATTTCTTAGACGACAAATCCACACCAAACATCCCCCCACCAAGCCGGACCCCATACTTCGTGGGACCAAAGCTGAACCGCGAGCCGTCAGTAGAAGAGACAGCGGCAGTGGCGGCATCATCATCCTGCCCATTAAGCACAACCTTGAGGCCGCGCTTCTCAAAAAAGCCGCCGTTCCATCCCTCGACGATTTCCATAAGGCGCTTCTTCTCGTGCTCGCCTGCATTTGACAATTGCCTCTTGTCGTTAACGTCAACGTTTCTGTCGAGCGCCGCGGTGATAATGGAGGCAAAGGCGGCCCAATCCTGGACGGATATGTCGCGGGTCTTCCATACGTCGGCTGGGTCCGGGAAGGGGAGAGAGAGGGAGGTGGCGCCGGGCCCGACGATGATGTGGTGGATTTGGATGGAGTCTGGGCGTGGAAAGGGCGGTTGGCGGTCGACGGACGAGACGACGTCGTTGTAGGACGGGGGAGGAAGATCAGAGCTCATGGTTCTCACGAGATTTATGTAATGCCTTTTATAATCGATTTGAGATGGGGAAGTCCTTCATACGGAGTGATTATGAGTGGTGTTCCAGCGTCTTGAGGATGTTTATAAAGCTGACGAGGTTCATGGCATCTTAAACCAAGGGGTCGATTAGCCAATGCGACACATCCGATGCCGAGGTAGAATAGCCGGTTCGAAAACGCATAAAACTAACGGGCGAAAACAACCCAGAATTCTGCTCTACAAAAGAGACCCTGCTGCGGCACAGCCCTACCCCTCCTATGGTGGGTTGATTCGGTTAAGGACACCACATAGATATCAGAATACCCATGGACGTACGGATAGACATCGTCCCAACGTGGGATTGTTGGATCAAGGCTGCATATTCATGCATGGTTCAACAACAATACAAGTCTTCACAATACGAACCAGACCTCGCGCTAAAACGGCAGGACGGACGTGAGATTCTTACTCTTGAGGGCTGAACTCATCCACTTGAACCGATGAGACGCCCGCATCTTCTTCGGCCAGCCAGGCGGACTGTGCGACCCGGGCTTGCAATGGCCGTATGCACCACCAATCAGCTCGTTTCTTTTATTCGCAATACAGCGGCGCAGACGGAAAGATAAGCAAGGGTTCGCTCTTCTGCCAGCAACATAAGTTCCTCACTTTGCTGTAATTATTGCAGAACCAACACGCGTTTCCCAGAACCAACACGGCGAAATCTAGACCCCCTCCCCCGCGAAGCAACCTTTTGTACCTCTCTAGAATAGGAAGCTGGGGAATTCAGGGTCCTTGGACTAGCACGTTGGCTAAGGGGGAACGATGCAAGTAAGGCCTTTTGATTCGTTCTTTTCTTACCAACAAATAGAACAGAATGTGGAGTTTCCAATTCACTGGCCAAGTCCAGTTCGTACACATGCATCTCAAGTCAGATCAAGCCTTTTGCTTCCCGCCAGTCCGACTTTGGTAGCTGGCTGTCCTGCGCCATGCGCCCAGACCCTGGCAAGAAATCTCGTGGTCTAAACTCGTTTGATCCTTCAACCACGCCATTCCATGCAGAGGACTAGGATATTGTAGCCGAGACCACCCCCATCGTCTATAGCAGAATGTTCCAACGGTTCCATCGCCTTATCACCAGGCAGCGAGACCTGTCGGTGCCGTTGAATACCAGCAGTGTGGTATCTTCCAGTTCATGGTTACCGTTCATAACAAGGGCACCTTCTCATCGTTCTTCCATGAGCACAATAAAGAAGCTCAGAAGTCTGTTGATCTTGCAGATCTATAGTTCTAAGTTTTGGTAAATGGTAGCTTGCTTTGATCCACGTATCTCTTATGTCTACCTTACCGCGAATACCTGCGCTGAAAACATAACATTACCCATGCTATAACTAGAGAATTCGATATTGTGCTGAAAAAACGCGTAACTCAGGCTTGCTGCTTCATCCCAAGTTGAGACTTCGAATCCTTTTAGACTCAATCCATTGATTATGATGGAAATCAAAATGATAGCGAGAATGTTAATCAGCACTGAGCTGAGTGGGCATGTCGGTCTCGCCTAAATCGATAAACAGAAAGCGTTCTTGTCCCTGATTGTTCCATGGATCCAATTCTTGTGTGACAGTCAAGGGTATCTGGAGAAGAGTCTCGTCGGGCTTCGTACTCAAAATTGCACTCTGCTCCATGCCGCTCGAATTTCGCGGTCCCCTGGTGCCAAAAGCATTTTCCAACTTGCACAAGAGACTCACGCCTTTTTGAAGTCCTCCGATGACCAAATAGTACAGCCCTGACACTGTGAACATGGTGTCGATTGGCTGCATTTTGCTGTTTATCCGGTTTGGCAAACGTCTTCTTCGTGGGATGTCTCAGGAGAAATCCATGGTTTGACGAAGGAAGTCAAGTTGCGGGGACTGTACCAATAACCTCTTACCTAGCTGAATATTTCGCTTCATAGTAGCACTTACTAAGCGCCCGTCTCCATCTCGCTCACTTGATTCTTGTCTGGACAATAAGACTGTGAAGGTCCCCCCTTGCGAAGACTTTCATGACCTCATCCTACGTCCCATCCACAGACTTTTGACATCGGGTATGTGGATTCGCGTGTAGAAAAGGAATGCCAGCTCCAGCCAGTAGATCTCGTCTCATTCTTTAGAGAAGGTTACTCAGCCCCATATTGGGATATCTCCCATGACGTAGCACGGCATACAATGTCAATATTCTGCAACCAAAAACACGTTAACTAACATCTAGAAAGACAGGCTGTATGTAACCTGTCAGAAAGAAGACATTGCAGAACAATACATCATGCTCCTAACTATCAGGTCTAGATGCCTTCCAAAAAACACAACAACAAAAGAGTTCACCCCCCCGGTGGCGAGCTGGGGGCTACATCTCTGGCGCACATGCTGGGACTCGAACACGGGACCTCTGAGCCTTCACCGATTAGGCTGTTCGTGGACTTCAACCACTCCACCAACCAGCCAGTTTTGACCTGACCCCCGAGGGGGCGCCTGCTGGCTGGTGACGGGATTGGACTTGAGGGGGGTTATATACCCTTCTCGTATGTTCATATGGAAGGTACGGCAGATGAGGACTCGGGAGGGAACCTGGAAGATGCGGTCGCCACTATCAAGGTCGTACCTTCCGCGTGATGAAGTCGAATGAGTATTAGTCATCTAGCAGACTTCATGTCGTGAAGATGGCTGGGTAATCGCATATAATGGGACATGAAAGCATAGGTAGGTAAGGTGGGTAGACGGCAGCATAGGAGACAGATCATGGCATTGGCCCTCTGAGGTGGCCATCCCGATCGGATTGCCTTTTAAATCAGTTAACTCGAGGCTGAGTAAGATAGCAGTTCAATATGATAAAACATTACTACTACCATCGGCAGAAGAAAGCAAGACGTTGAGGGTAATGTGTCTTTCATGGAAGCCGTTCGAGAAGAAAAAAGAACCCGTCATCACCATCTGCAGGGAGAGAAACATCGCGCCTCGTAAATCCCAATCGGGGCTGAACCCCGCCTCGACCATAAGCTGCATCGACACCTTGTCGTTGCAACGGTTACACCCGCCAAGGCACCGGTAAGCTTATCGGGATGTAGATCGGGCCTTGGGAGCTTTTTTGCCATGCGGGGGAAACGTCTAAGCGAGACAGGGGAGTCATGAATCTGCAAAGGCAATTATTGACATTTCCGATGGTTTGGAGCCGGGAAAGGAGCGAGTGATGGCGGTCAAGACAAGCTCCGAGCACGAACAGAAAACGGCTATTAAAGCCATCCCGCCAGTCCTTGACCCAAAGCTGTCGAAGCAAGAGACTCGTGCGCTCAATCGACCGCAGCCTCATCCCAAGTATTGCATACTTCCCACCGCAAACATGATGATCCTTTCTACAATCACAGCGTTCACAACCTTTCTCCTTCTCCTCCGCCCCCTCAAGACCACAGCCCAACCAGCCCCAAACGAACCATCAACCTACACCTACATCGTAATCGGCTCCGGCCCCGGCGGCGGCCCCCTAGCCTGCAACCTCGCCCGCGCAGGCCACCCGACCCTCCTCCTCGAAGCAGGCGACGACGAGCGCGACGACATCCGCACCGTCATCGCCAACGGCGGGTACTTCATCACCCCGAGCAACAGCTGGTCCTTTTTCGTGCGGCATCACGCGGACGACGAGGTCGAGCTGCGGAATAACCACCTCACGTGGCGGCTGCCCTCGCAGGATGGAACTGGTATCGGACCGTACTGGGTCGGGAACGCGGCGAGGGCGCCCGAGGGGGCGGAGTTGTTGGGGGTGTGGTACCCGCGCGGTGCGACGGTGGGAGGATCGAGCGTGACGAATGCGATGGCGACGTGGTTGCCTAATGATTCGGATTGGGATTTCGTGCAGAATGTCACGGGGGATGCTTCGTGGAAGTGAGTTTATTTCCGGAATCGTGAAGGCATCTTAAGAAATTTGGACAGGAAAAGCTGACCTGAGCTTGGAAAAGCCACGAGAACATTCGGCAAATATTTGAGAGGATCGAGAAGAACAACTATCTCCCCGAGGGCACGCCGGGTCACGGATTCGACGGCTACTTTAACACGAACCTAGGCAATGGGTCGCAGTATCTCAATAACCCTGGTCTCATGGACATTCTCAAGTCGCACTTGCGGTCTATTGGGAAAGAACCGGAGAAGCTCATCGAGATGGTGGGCGGCGACGGGAACTTCCTCAGCGAAGATAGAGACACGACGGAGGGCATGTGGGGGCTGTCGTTCCATGCCACGAATAAATGGGAGCGGTACAGCTCTCGCACGTACATCTATGAGACCCTGGCAGCCAAGAACGCAGATGGCTCTCCCAAGTGGCCGCTGACCTTGTCGACGAATTCTCTAGCCACGAAAGTCCTGTTTGAAAAGACAGAGGGTGGAAAGCCTAGGGCCGTGGGCGTCGAGTATTTGGCGGGCAATTCCACGTACGGTGCCGACGTGCGACGAAATGCGTCAACGACAGGCGAGACAAGACGATTAATGGCATCTCGGGAGGTCATCGTTGCAGGCGGTGCTTTCAACTCGCCCCAGCTACTACAGCTCAGCGGCATCGGGAACAAAACGGACCTTGGAGCACTCAACATCGAGGTCGTGGCAGACTTGCCGGGCGTGGGGCGAAACCTCCAAGACAACCAAGAATTCCCGGTTGTGGGCCACGCTCAACTTAATCTCACGGCTACTCCAAATCCCAACGATCCAATCTGCGCGAAAGGAAGCCCCGGAGACCCATGTGAAGAGCTGTGGCGACAGGGCAAGGGCCCGTACATGCGGCCTGGATACAACTCGAACGCGTTGCTTCTCAAGTCCAACTTTTCGCTAACGGGAGAGCGAGATGTCTTCGTCTTCAGCTGGCCAAGGGCGTTCCGCGGGTTCTGGCCCGAGGTGCAGCAGCCGGAGCTCCTCGATCCGCCGAATACCGTCGGCTTCTCAACAGTCAAGATGCACCCGCAGAACACAGCCGGATACATCAAG